ATATATATTTTAAATTTGTATCCTGGATAAAGGCATAAACGCGGAATTTAAATGAAATGAAATTGTTAAAAAATTATTACAAGACGGGAAAAAAGTAATGGTACATTGTTTAGTTGTAACAATACCCGTTATAGAAAACGTATGGGACATTCACAACCTGTCTTAAAGCATCGTTAAGTCGTAAAATTTTAAATTTATACACTTGTTTAAATAAAAATTAGGGTTTTCACATGCCTCTTAAAGTTATAAGTTATAACGATTCGAAAACATAGTATTGAGAATTGTAAATGTGTATACTCATTTTTGTATGTAATCCAACAACACTTTTTTTTTAAACAAGTGTAAAAATTTAAAATTTTACGACTTTACGAATTAAGACAGGTTGTGAATACAGTAGTTTAAAAAGGGGAAACGCGAAATTGATAAATGTGAAGATAATGACAAAACGGACAACAAAAAGAACGGTACCTTGTTTAGTTGTAACAAAATCCTTTGTAGAATATGTAGTTTAAAGAAGGTGATATAGCCTACATATTTAAAATAACTTTTAGATTTCCTTTGTGCATTGGCAGCCTTCGGCCGCGCTTAGAAATCCGTAACCCTGGCCGATCCAACACCGGGGTGTGTCATATTTTTTTTTAAATAAAACTTCTTCTTGCGTTAGCGGCCTTCGGGCGCGCCAAACAAAAAAAATAACCCTGGCCGATCCAACACACAGGGTGTGTCAGATTTTTTTTGAGTAAAACTTCTATTTGCGTTGGCACTAGGGTGCGTCAGATTTTATATTTTTTTGAGTTAAACTACTTTTTGGCTTTGGCGGCCTGCCCGATCAAAAGTCATTATATATCAAGAAAAGGGCCAGTAATTTATGTATTTGGAGTATAATCCTAGTTTTATTCATTTTTATTCGTTTTGATAAATGTCTAATTATGGCAACACTTATTATCTGTCAACAATACTTTTGTTATTGTGCATGGAATGAAAATTGTGTAAAATATAAAATGCTTATTTTAAGCAAATAACTAAATAATTACTGAAAAATAAATATGTAGAAACAATGTAGTGAATTTGCAAAATTTTTAACTTTAAATGCAAATATCGCGAAAACTATAAGTTTGCGGGGGCAACAATAATATATTTTCTTAATCTGGAGCATCAGCCCTACCTAACCATACCACTTTGAACCCTGAAATCGTGGGATGGTATACTGAAACCGACCCAAGAAAAGTTAATTTATGTTCATATTTATTTCATTCAGCCCAGGAGTTACATTTTTAAAACAGAAAGTTCTTGACTCCCCTTGCCTTTTTAAAATTTATCGGAACTTTTGTTATTTCGAACAGCCTTCCTCGATTTCGTGGTACGAATGGGTATATACGGATTACAAAAGTCCTCCAGATCAAGAAAATATGTATATGCATAGTTGCCACTGACTTTTGAATTGTTATATATTTGCATCTAAAGATATAAAATTCAACTATTTAAAACGCGTGTTTCTCCGATTTATGATGCATTTAAAACCAATATTTTTAACTTTTTTATCCACTGACCCTTCACTAATTCCATTACAGACATTTGTTTTGTATTAAAATGTGTAATAATAACTTTAATTCCATATTTAACTTTAGTTAAAATTCATTTATTTATACAATAAGAAAATGGTTGCAAAACAGGCAAAAAATTAGTGTTGACATATTTTGTAATCGAATAAATATATATCGTCCGCTTAACGTGCAAAGGTGCTCAGTGTCATTTTTGAATTATTAAATAAAACAAAAAAAAACTGAATAAAAATTGAAGTTCAAACATTTTTTTTTTTCTAACGCATTCACCGTCGAACTGTCATCGTAACCGGTTGCTTTTCGCT